ATGAAAAGGCAGCTGAGTAATCTAAGGTTGTGTGTGTGCGCGTTTGTTCACTGTCGCTCTGGCTCAACATGTCACCAAGAGAAAATACATAAAGGTCAGCTGTGACAAGACTATTGATCCCGCAGGACAATTACAATGGCTAAATCACACACCACCAAGTTCAAAAAGTGCTGCGGCGTACATTGGATAGACAGCAGTGACAAATGGACATGCAATCATACACTTGTACCCAAACTCATTTTATCCGATTGTACCTGCGACTTTGCTCTTTCAGTTTCTACCCAGAGCTTTGCCAACGTAGGCGAAGAAGGGAATGTAATGGAAAGCATCTCCTTCTGGATCAGCGCTAATCGGCCTTTCGTTCACCTGTACAGATGGAACTTCACAGTTACCTTGGATTTAACTGTGCGCACACACACACACACACACACACACACACACACACACACACACACACACACACACACACACATATACTTTCCAGTTGCTGCCTCTTGCTGCCTCTCCTCGTCTATCCATGCATCCATTTTCCTTAACTCTTAAAACAATCAAGGTGTAGAAATAGTCAAGTTTTATGCCCCGATGATCTCTGATGGCCACTAATGTTTGCAAATGATGTGGTCCTGATGGTGTTATCAAGCTGTAACCTCCAGCTGGAGCAATGATCTCCAATGGTCACTAATATTTGCGCATGATGCGGTCCTGATGGTGTTATCAAGCTGTCACCTCCAGCTGGAGTGAGTTGCCGCCCCAAAGGTGGAGGGATTCAAGTCGTGTTGTTTCGATACCGTTTTTTTCTCCCCGATACCGATTCCAGTCACCTCTACGGTATGATGCCGATACCGTACTGATATCACACCATTTGAAACAACAAAATATAAGAGCATTTTTTTCTCGTACTTCTAAAGAACTGCATACTCACTTGAATCTAAAATCATTAATAGTTCAAAGTCAAATCATCACTTGTGAAGTAATCTGCAGTCAACATCGTAAACAGAAAATGTGTTGAATAAGCAGCCTATTTGCATAACTCTTCATGCAAGTGAGAGTGAGACATGGGCTAGATATTCACCTGAATGTGCCCTTGTAGTGCAGCAAGATGCAACATTTGGACATCTAAGATATTGCCTGTGATTCTAAAGGACCCATACCGTGTGACGTCACTCGATTTGCACACCGTAACCTCATTTGCAAACTCTCAACCCTCACCCTACTTGCAAAATATCTAAATATCTAACATATCTACTAATGTGGTTGTGCGTTGTTCAGGGAAGGAGCTGGAGCTGGAGGTGTCCAGGGTGGGGTCCAAGAGAGAATATTCGTTAAAGTTTCCATTAATAAATTTGCTTCTTGACCCACGTCCAACGCCTCCGATCAGGCCTCTCAGAAGACTCGTTACTTTTATAGCATGACGCAATAACTAAACTCTCAAACACGATGGAGAAAAGTGGTCTCTCAGCCGATGCAAAGCATGCATTAACTCCTCCTCAATGCGCTCGTACAACCGTCGCCACCTTTCTTTCCAGGCTGCCAATCCTTTCGCCCTCTCTTGACACTGCAGTGTTGGCGCCTCATTACTGAGAAGAGTAGGTAGCAGAGATCATATCTGTCCCTCTGGCAGAAAAGGAAAAAAAAAAAAATAGGCGGTAAGGGGGTCGGATGTGATGTATTGTGCCTGATGAGCACTCACTCTCCTGCATGATTCGCACGTATGATCGACTATCCATGTGGCTGCACACACGCACATTCATGAACATTAACATTTGTTTTTTTTTGCACATGCATCCTGAGCGCAGACGCGTATGAACATCGAGGTGATCGTTCACCGTTGCAATTAAGCCCTTTAAGCGATGATGATGATGATGATGATTTAAGTGTCATCGGCAGATAAATGAAGTTTCAAAAGAAACTTTCATTGGTTCAGACACCCCTCTCTGCTGGTCTAGCTTGGCACAAACAGTAAGCAAACATGAAGTTGGATCCCAGCCTTGCGGTGAGTAAAGATGATTGGCTCTCTCTGGCCATCTGTAAGCTTCACTATCACCATATTTTTCTTTGGCAACCTCACTAAGAAAGAAGCATTTTCCTCAGGTGTGATTTATCAGTCATGATAACACGACAAAATTAAACGGGTAGATCAACCTACGAATGTTTTAAGATGCTTTTACCCCAGTTTTGTACCCGTGTAAGGGCACCTTTTTACCATTTCCATGCGGCTTTTGACTGGACGGTTGAAAAATGTAATCAACTTTTAACAGAATGCTTTCTTTGTCCTTGTCACTGTTGGTCTAATTTAGTGTTTCCCAAACTTTACTCAGCCAAAACGCATATTTTACGTTGGGGGGACCCATTTTCAATTCAATGAATGACAAATTGTGGATACACAAGTTTATTGTGCCTTATGCCATCTAGTGGAAGAACTCGTCAGTCTTTCACTTTACATCGTTGGCATAGATGGATGAATTATGATATCCAGTATTATTTGTAGGGAATAAATCATTTTTAGACCAATGCAAAATTTCCCGTGGCGCCCAATGATCTCTGTCATCACACTAATGCGCTAAGGCGCAGTGGTTGGGAAATGTTGGTCTTATTTCCATCTATCCATCCATTCTCTGCGCTTCGCGGATGATTTGAAGCCGATCCTAGCTGACTTTGGGCAAGAAGCAGGTCAAACTGGTCAAAAGTCGCAGAATTATTGAAATATACCGTACAATCAATGAAGTCAAGCACAACTTCTGTTGTTAAAACTACAGTTTGGATTGACACTCAGAAATGTATAAATTGACCTCATTCAGCTCCCTGAGAAAGAACACCGGATGCCATTGAATTGTGCAGGTCTACGTAATGCGGTGTGCGGTGAAGTGTTGGATTCAAGCATTATCATTTTACCAATGTCCAATTCTCCAGGAAGGCTGGAGTTGTTGAATCCCATCTTAACAATTAATTTTCGATGTACATTGCTTCTCAGAGTCCTTAAAGGTGCTTCATTTTCTGCTCTTTATTTTGGAGTGCATGCAAACAAAAGCGTGCGCGCCCAATGTAGACACTCCTCCACTTTGCGTATGTGGAGTATACCTTCCTAAGCACACTCCACGAAGAAGCGTTGTGCGTCCATCGTGTGCCGAACAGCAAAAACAGCAGTCGGTGTTGTCACTCCAGTCGTCACCCTCTGTCACACAGAGGACCCCTGACATGATGCCGCTCTCATTACAGCCCCACTGCCATGTCGCCTCCAGTCACTTACACCTCATGAATAATCCATCTCGACTCACCACATCCTGATGAGTCGCTTGGCGCTTTTGACATGGATGGCTGACCCTGCCCTCATTCAAAAGCACCAGGCGGCGCTTCGTTCTTCTCACACTCTCTCTCCTTGGAGAAACCCCCTCGCTGATGCCTGTTGTAAAACTTGTAAAGGCCGTGTTGACAATATGAAGCGATGTGACCGTAAAAGTACAGCTTCAGAGTCCTATTGATGCAAATACTGCCTCTGTATTTGCCTTGGTGATGATGACTACAGATCACCGACATAAGGGCTTTACTTTTTTTTTTTCTTCGGTGGACCAGACATGGACATCTCATGTTGTGCTCAAGCATTTGTGCCTATTTTAGTTCTGACCTTGGATTTATTGGTGTCACACTTTAAAATATCCTGAGGCAACTGTAAAAAGAATCAGGGAGCTTAGAAATGAAGTCATATTGTGGAAAATGGCATTTGCTGTGGTTGGAACGACCATTCGGCTTGCTCAGACTCAGTTTGCCAACCTTTGTTTTGAGCCAAGGCACTTCGTTTACATCAGAGAAGTCTTATGGTGCACCAACAAACAAAAATGTCTCCAAAAGTACATTGGCTCCCCTGAGACTAATCCCACGGGGTTCATGCAATATTTCCCCTCGAGTCGGGTCAGACTCATTGAGAGTTGGGTCAAAAATAAATGTTGGCATTAGCGAGAATGTGTCCAGTGTTTTAAAATCTGTTTTTTGTCTTGTTTTAAAAATCCATATTTGTCTTGTCCTAACTGCTGCTGGCAGTAACGCTATTGGGTATTATTTGAGTTGCTGCCCCAGTGGAATTGTCGCAAGTGACAGAAGTGACACGTCTGGTGTCAATGGCATTATAATTCTGTCTCCACAACAACATTGTTTGTGACCAACACCCATTGATGGCTGCAGGGCCATTGTTTTTAATGTCTGGAGTGCTACAAAATAAAAGCTTTTTACATTGACACAATCCCAACTGAGTGACTGCAACCTGGAATCCTTTCCATCCGCTTTGTGTTGAATATTTAACCCTTCAAAAAGCAGGATGCAAGGATACCTTCAGCTCCCCTTTGACAAAACAGTGTTATGTGAATGACGAAAGGTGGACACACATGTCCGTTGTACTTTCTGCTATCAGGTTAAAGAGTCTTTGATTTTCCTTCCTGTCGCTATACGTCACCGGCATTGATAGATGAACAAGGATATGGTATTTATAGTTGAATAAAAAGCTCTGCCACTGCCAAGACACAAAATACACATTAATTGTGTGCCTGAAATGTGCAAAAAAAGAAAATTGGGGGTAAAATGAAGAACATGAGCACACTGATTGCGAACAATGTGTTGCAACACAAGAATAATTAAGATCTCGGTGGCTGTCTTTCTTCAATTTCGACGAGTGTATCATCTATCTGTTCACCGAAACAGGCCCAGATTTAAGTACATTTGTGATTAAACTGACGCCAGATCATTACAGTACACCGTGTAAACATTTCGTGTTGCATTATGCCAGGAGACATACGACCTGGCTCCATAAAGTTTTGGAGACACTGCCTGACAGCATCAATTTTAAAATGAATAACCCCAAATATATTTCGTTATGATGACTACAACTAGGAGCTACATTTGTTTCCGAGGCGCAGAGCCACTGGCCATGTGTCATAATTATCCGTCTTTTACTTCCCTGCTCACGCTGTTTGACTTTGTTGGCTAATTGGCTCTCTGTCTCTTGTTTCCAGGACGACAACTCCATGTTTTTCCAGTTCGGCCCGTCCATCGAACAGCAGGCCTCGGTCATGTTGAATATCATGGAGGAGTATGACTGGTACATCTTCTCCATAGTGACCACATATTACCCGGGCTACCAGGACTTTGTCAATAAGGTGACTAAATAGTAGTTAGCATGCTAGTGTCTGTGTTACGTATGCGCAGTAGTTATTCGAAGCATGAGGCGCAAACACAGTTGGTGGCCATACCACCTGTCTGCAACATTAGCATCACAGTGAATATGCTGCCTTTAGAAATGAACATCAGTTCAGGACAAGCTGAGGTCAGTGAGGAATATTATTACATCCAAAGAACATTTACTTTTTGAACTAAGAGATTCACTTAGCTGTTATTATCTGTCGCTTTGGAGCACATTAGGAGTGCTTTCACTGAATGTGTTTCCCCTGAGCTATACAAACTGCTGAAGTGTGTAAATGTGCGTGCTAGTTTTCATCCCCCCCCCCCCATTTTGTAATATATGAATAGAAATGATGAAGTGGCTCCCTAAAAAGGCAGCCAAAGCGGAGGACCTGATCATTTGGGTTCAAAACCGTAATTTCAAGCTTTTGATAAAGATAAGGTTGGCAGACTGATGTAAATGGGCAGAATGTACCATATTCTGATTGCTTTCATGGGAAAAAAAGCAGACCGGCTGAATATTTGGGGGAGTGGGGGTGGGGGATTCTAAATGGAGCTGTTCACTGAGGCTGAAGGTTCCTTATCTCCAGGGCGGAGCAAAGAGTCTTTCAAGGCGATGCTATGAGACCCTCAGTTATGCACAACACCAGCCGCATACTTGATCTTCGCGGAAAACAAAATGTTAGACTTACAGTTGGTTTGTCACATCACCATTCCACATGGTGTTTACTGCATCCAATGACGTGAACAAATGACATCAGATTGGATTTCACCTTGACTCGCAGCTGGATTGATAAGAATGCATGTATGCACAAATCGATTGAAGGTCGATCAAACTCCATTGAGGATAAGGTAGAAGCTCCTTGAATGGATTAGATGTGATGATGATGATGATGATGATGACAATCAACGGCATGCTTGTAAACATTGGCTGCCTCCTAAAAGATAAGCTGTTGCCATAGTAGCGGTTCTATCAGAACTGCACAAAAGTTCTCTATAAATAGAAGAGGAAAATAGAGACTTTCTGGACGAAAGGGATGTTTTCGCTCTTGTCTCTTTTTTCATCAGAGCCACCTTTTAATTGTTGATCTGATTGGTCCTTAAAGAATAGGCATAACTTCCACCCAATCACTTGTTCATTAGATGACTGGCCTTTGCCAAACTGCACACCAATTAAAACAACACAATACAGAACCGTGACACCCAGATATTCGGATTTAACCATCCATGCAAGCCCAAAGTTATATGTGACAGAGGTCGCATGTCTTCACTGCATATTTACCAAACTTGTACAGTTGCAAGGGAACGTGTGCGAAACCCTTGAGAATTAACTGCGCTCCCGCATAAAAGTGAATGCCCTCCCTGAGGTGGATACCCATAGACACAGCCCCCTCGTGTGTTGCCGGAACACTATCTGGTTGCGGTCGCGAAACCTGTGGCCGCCGGAACAGGGACTTGTGGCGGCCACAGGATGTGTGCCACCGGAACAGGGTCTTGTGGCGGCCGCAGGATGTGCACCACCAGTGCCAGGTGTGAATTGGACTCCCCATCAAATTGGGAATAATACTGGTCCTCCCGTGTTGCCAGGACGCCCACGGTGAAAGTCAGGTTCTGAAGAGCATCCTTCAACGCTCTAGGACTGAGTCCGTCAGCTCAACAGTTCACCTCTTTGCAAAATGATTAGCTGGCAACCAGTGCTGGGTGTACCCCGCCTACTGGCTGAAGACGGCTGGGATAGGCTCCAGCACGCCCGCAACCCTTGTGAGGATTAGCGGCTCGGATGAATGTCAAGAACCAAGGTTCCACTCTACCCAGCGAGGCCCGGTCAAGGCCTTATGCTGGTCTATGTTCTGGTGGTTGGGAAACCCTGCTCTAGCTCATTGCCTTTAGTTCAATAAAACTGTCGCAACAGCAGTTTGAAATGGCTCACAGCACAATAAAGTAATACAATCTGTTTTGATCATTTTAGCAGAGCCCAACCCCAAGTTATGCATTTTTATCTCTCTTATCCATCAAGGTCCGCAGTACCATCGACAATAGCTTTGTGGGCTGGGAGCTGGAGGAAGTCCTCCTGTTGGATATGTCAGTAGATGACGGTGACTCCAAAATCCAGAACCAGCTGAAGAAACTGCAGAGTCCGGTCATCCTGCTTTACTGCACGAAGGAGGAGGCCAGCACCATCTTCGAGGTGGCTCATTCTGTGGGGCTCACTGGTTACGGCTTCACGTGGATCGTCCCCTCGTTGGTGGCCGGAGACGCAGACCACGTGCCCTCTGTGTTCCCCACAGGTGAGCATGCGCCCCTCGTCACGTCCGCTCAACTGTCATTTTGTATTTATGGATGGCTTCCATTACCCTTTACACTCCGATAGGGCAGCAAATTAAAACAGAGATTACACCACCTTTACATTTTCTGGTGACCACATAGAATCATCTCCAATAGTGTTGAATCCAATAAATGTAACAAAGGCAAGAGAATTGAAGTCAACTGTGACTCGACACTAATGTTATGGTTGAAAAAGTGATCATGTCTACTGCGTATGTAGTGTATATGTATGATTTGGGGCAATCACAAACACTAAAAAGAGAATCAAAGAGGCAGAGAAAGTTTACAGGCGTTTTCACAGAAGGCAGTGCGTCATTAATTTATATTGCTTGTCGGTGCTTTTAACTCTGCTGCTGGCCACACTCGCGGGCCTTATCTATTAATTGCACAGTCTCCATATTCCCCAACACGTCTTTACTCACACTTGAAGCCTTTTCACTGACAAACCAGAGAGGTCAGCAGGGATTCAATTAAACCGTGTTAGCTTAGACCAGTGATGGGCAGTAATCACAGGAAAAAAAAGGTAACAATCCAAAATATGACAAATATTCGGAAAAAAAAGATAAGAAAAACACAAATGTGTAAATTGGTGGGTGCTGAACAGGGAATATGCACGGGTCAAATGAAGCTTTAAGTATCACCTCTGGGCGGCCCGGTGGTCCAGTGGTTAGCGCGTCGGCCTCACAGTGCAGAGGTCGTGGGTTTGATCGCGGCTCCGGCCTTCCTGTGTGGGGTTTGCATGTTCTCCCCGTGCCTGGTTTGGTTTTCTCCTCCCGCATTCCAAAAACATGCATGGTAGGCTGTTCAAACACTCCAAATTGTCCCTAGGTGTGAGTGTGAGCGCGGATGGTTGTTCGTCTCTGTGTGTCCTGCGATTGGCTGGCAACCGGTTCAGGGTGGCCCCCGCCTACTGCCCCAAGATGGCTGGGATAGGCTCCAGCACCCCCCGCGACCCTTGTGAGGATAAAGCGGATAGGAAAATGGATGGATGGATAAATAATCACCTCCGGACAAATGTGTCTTAGTTGCTTTTCCAATGGGTCTTATACGGTTCTATAATACGTGAGTAGGCCAATAATCTTTTGCGGTTTTGGAATGATGTGCAGGACAAACATAGTACTCAAGTATTACAATTTTGAGTATGTTGATTTTTTGTGAAAAAATGTGCTAAATGAGTTCTTGAGCTTAATTTTTTTCTTGTTTGGCAGTATTATGCCGTCCTTGAATGGTAATCTTGGTGCAAGAAAGAATGTGGTTATTTTGGGGTTTTTTTGGTTCAAACATTAGTGGATCTTTTGTACATGTTTTGAAAAATGTATTCGCAAAAAGGAAATAGATTAAGCGCATGTACTTGCCCATATTTAAAATAGAGCATTTTTGTCATATATCTAATAATGAAGTGTGTAGTTCCCCAGCAGCACTTATTAACAAGTTCTGGCCCTTTCCAGCATTTACATCTGACTGTGCTCTTGATATCGCAGTGGTATATGTACAGTGGATTTTTTTTTAATGAGAAATTCACACAGACACGACAATTCCAATTTTTATAGATAAGTTTAGCATAGTTGACACGCTAGCTGTCAACAGCTGCAAAGTCAGTACTGATAACAAGCTGGCTCCAAGTCTGCCTGTTTCCACTGAATTTGAAAACTGGGAATACTGTAAAATGCAAACCAGCCAAGGATCATAACCACCAAAACGCTCTAGTTTATGGGTGAGATAGAAATGCGTGCAGACATCGGTAGTTCTTCATGCTCGGATGGCCAAGCATAACAAAATGAGCTGAGGGCTGAACCACAGTTTCCATGTTCACAGTTTTCACAGTTTTTCATTCACGTGTTCCTCTTGAGGGGGTAAAAAGATCTATGTGTATACATACATATTAGCATATTAATACATAGTAACATATTAATGCTTTGGTTCCACAGATTGCGGTTAAGAGTTTTTCATTAATTTCCTGTCATGACATTTTTTCCTAGACTCACATTTAAGATTTTCAGGGACCCCTGCTACGTTGTTTGTATATGTCTGTTCTTCCTCAAAATCAACTTGCTGCATCTACATGGGACGCCAGCATGGGTTGCCAGCATGGGTTGCCAGCGGATGTTTTGGAGAGTCTTAGTTGCATGACCATGTTGTTGTTCTGCTGAGTGATGATTAAAAATTCAAGCTAACCAATGGAAAAGTTATTTTTATCACTTGATAATTTCTATTTCGGACGGCCCGGTGGTCCAATGGTTTGCGCGTCGACCTCACAGTACAGAGATACCGGGTTCAAATCCAACTCCGGAGTTTGCATGTTCTCCCCGGGCTTGCGTGGGTTTTCTCCGGGTACTCCGTTTTCCTCCCGCATTCCAAAAACATGCATGGCAGGCTGATTGGACACTCTAAATTGTCCCTAGGTGTGAGTGTGAGCGCGGATGGTTGTTCGTCTCTGTGTGTCCTGCGATTGGCTGGTAACCGGTTCAGGGTGGCCCCCGCCTACTGCCCCAAGACGGCTGGGATAGGCTCCAGCACCCCCGCAACCCTTGTGAGGAATAAAGCGGATCGGAAAATGGATGGATGGATGAATTTCTATTTCTACTGGCTACGAAAACTTTAAATCAAATAACCCGTAAGACTTTTATTTCAATTATTTTTAAAGGTCATGTTGAACGATTTGAAATATGCGTTTTGGGACCACAGTTTGTAGGATATTAACAGTTCAAACTCTTCATGCAGGTCATTATAAAATTAAATTTTCAAGGGGGTGTCAATCATTGTCATGATGGATGAATCCATCTCTACCCCTTCCTCTTCCGTCCCACGCAGGGCTGATCTCGGTGTCATATGATGAGTGGGATTACAACATTGAAGCCAGGGTGCGCGATGCAGTCGCCGTCATTGCCACGGCGACATCCACCATGATACTGGATCGCGGGCCTCACACCCTCATGAAATCCAGCTGCTTTGGGACCCCCGACAAGAAGAACATCAACACTGGCCACTCCAAGGAAATACTCAGGTGGGCAAGGATTAGATTGTATAGCATATTATGTACACTACTTAGCAAAATTTGGGGATGGTGGGTTTACAGGGGCAATTTCAGGATGAGCCAGAAACGCACACTGATCTATCACATTTTTGGCACGACTTGGTTTTCTCTAACAATTAGATGAATGGCAACATTCACGTCGGGAGTTTGATCCATGCATCGACCAATAATTCCCCAAGGACATCCACTTCCATGCCTTTTTGTGACTGTCATCTTGGCCTCCTGATGTCAAAATGTGAACAGCGTGATGAAGAGCACTCTTTAAAAATAATTTCTAATGTAACCCGCATATTTATTGGTCCATTCATCGATCAAAGTTTTTTGAAGTATTTTTTTTTTTTTTAATAGATTATTTTCTATTTTAGAGGCTTAACTATATGCTTCCATCCATTTTCTTTTGTGTTTGTTGTCATTATGGTTGCAGTTAGGCTGGATCCTTTCCCGATCCTGAAAGGAGATTTACACGTAGACAAAAAAAAAAAACGTTCACATTCACACCTATCAAAAATTTAGAATGCAAGCCGGAGCATCGTGAAGATTTTCACGGTGCTCCGGTTTCATTCCAAAAACATGCATGTTCGGTTCATTGAAAATTCAAAATTTTCAATTGGTATGAAGGTGAAAGTGATTTTTTTTTTTTTTTTTTGTCAATATCTAAACAGGGATTTCATCCATGAACCTGTGAGCCAGATGCACAATTCCACAGTTCAGTTTGCTACATGCTTTCATGAACAAATTATGGTTGGTTAAATTTATTTGATTATAAAAATACAATTTGCTGTATACAAGCGCTGCCCACACTTTTTCCATATGCAAGCAAGTCCTTCATTCCCAGGACTGAAATACACCAGCCGGCCGGGAAAATTTACATATTTCCCCGAAATTCCCGATGGCCACTCCCACTCAGTCAAGTGACAAATTTCACACGTGATTTAGTCTGGAGTCTGCTTTTTTAATTTTTATGAAACTCATTCACTGCCAGATCAATAGCATAAAGTGTACATTTTATCCCGTGATTTAAACTCTTGTAAAGTGTCTTTGAGTACGATGAAAAGCGCTTTCAAAATTAAATGTATTATTATTATTATTATTATAAAGCTAGCAGTGATTGAGTTAATTTATGTCATATGTAACATGAGTGTCAATCTAATGATTTGTGCTATAAACAAACAAATTGATCAGACGTTTCATCCTGATGAGGGATCAAGCCTTTTGTGAACTGCAGTCTTGGACTTCTGAGTTCAAAAGGAGCTGGCATCGTTTTTGCATGGAGCACGAATGTAAGATGACCAATAACAGGTGAAATCTTAAGAATTGGAGTCGAAGCCTTGCAGAAATTAATCATAGTCGGACTTTCATTGCCGGAAGCGGAGTTAACAATCGATGCAGTGCAGACACACACGCAAGCGCACGGACACCACACCCAAGGAGACTGTGTTAAGCAGCAAAACGAAAGCTTTTAACTGCAGATAGAGAAACACTTACTGGGAGACAAAAAGCATTCTTTGTTCTCCTCCCGTGAACATCCTTGTTTTGCCTTTTGGCACATTACAGAAAAGCAGGAGCACTGCTCTTCAATAATTCATCGCAGTTTAAATTCATGGCTAATGTTTTAACGCTTCACTCTTTCCACCGTCCGCTGCGGGACAAGCACATTTGTCAGAAGAGACAAAAATTTAGATTTCTCCAACCACATTTATAGAATTATGTTTTAGCATGGCCTTTAGACAAGACTGTTAAAAAAAAAAAAAAAAAACATGCATAAACTCTCCGATGCAATTCTTCATCCCATTTGCCTTTTAAAACTTAACTCTGTTGTCTTTCATCACACTTTTCCTCATTTTCCTTACTGCCACTATAGCTTGGTGAATGTAGATGAATGTTGGTAAAGTGAAAAGATTCTAAAACTTCCATGTTGATGGACTATTGTAAATGTTACCCCCCCCCCACCCCGCTGCCCCGGAATAACATTAGCATTGGTACACACTGTCACAGCATCCACTCACAGCACGACTGAGACAACAATAACATCACAAACATGAATAGTTTAGTCTCCAAAGGACGCTGTGCGACTTGAGGTGAGCGCTCAATCAACCTTTGTGTGTGCGTGCGTGTCAGTGCGTGCATGTGTGTGTGTGTGTGTGTGTGTGTGTGTGTGTGTGTGTGTGTGTGTGTGTGTGTGAGAACAAATGATGTACTTTTTTTTTCAAGCAACCATTCCTTTAAATTTTTCTCAATTCGACCGAGTGAAGGTATAGAACGCAAGTGTCAAAGTCGAGGTCCGGGGGCCAGATCTCGCCTGCCGCATCATTTTATGTGGCCCACGAAAGCGAATCATCTCCATCAACTTCCATGATTCTTGCTTAAAGCTGTTGCGAAATCTCAAATTGTCATACGTAATAAATAACGGTGACATTTCGCAATCATTTTGTTAACCTGTTTAGACTCACTTGAGCAATAATTGAACACATACTTGACTGATTTCAAAACTAGTGAGCCATCAATTTTTTTGTGTACAAGTAATATGTGATGATCAACCATTCATTCGGTTTCACTGTTTTAACAGCCCTCCAAAGGAAGACATAACTCCAAAGTGGCCCGCGACAACAATGAGTATGACACCCGTGGTATAGAATTTTGATCTCAGTGTTGACTTTGTGGGGGAGGACACGCATTCACACACAACACACACTATCTAATGGCGTTAAAGGCCTTCACCTGTGTGTGTGTGTGTGTGTGTGTGTGTGTGTGTGTGTGTGTGTGTGTGTGTGTGTGTGTGTGTGTGTGTGTGTGTGTGTGTGTGTGCTTCTTGTGTAGCCGCCAAAATGCGCATGCAATAAAAGTGGTATTTCAAGTGTTGCGCCACACAGAATGCTCAGGCGCAAGCACATACGCACACATGCACCCCGAGAGACAAAAGCAATAATAAGGCCATATGTCTGCGCGCGGTGCGGTAGGATAGCTACAGGCCACAGTGGGCCATATGCAGAACGTATTAACGTGCCATCCTGTCAGTGGTGATGGACGAAGACGGGAGGCTCCCGTGAGTCATGCACTCACATATGAGTTGAGGCGGCTGCTTGACCTTCTGGGCGCACACAGCACATCTACACACCCATTAAATAAACACGGAACGAGCCAGTTGCACGCTCCGACATATCCACGCTAAATACAGATCTTGTAATATTAATGAGATAAAGTAAAAGGGAGATCTGCGCTGAGAACGATGAAATGAGAAAATGTGCTCCAAGTGGTTTTGGATGAGGCGCCGAGGGCTTTTCGTGCGAGGAAGGTTCAGCGAAAGAGGTGTTTCTATGTGGTATTAATTATGATGATAATTTGTCGATTCTGAGTGTGTATTTATGCGGATGTGACTGCTGACAGGTTACCTTACAGATGTGATGATTAATATTTTGTCACAAATTGGTGTGTTTGCACTGTTGCTGAATTCATTTCCAGTCCTTGTAGATCAATTTGCATGTTTATTCGACAGCTCTGTCTCCCTTTTATTCACGTTCGTCAGTCATACTAAACAAAAACAGCTTAAGGGGCTTGAAAAGTGACTTGTCTATCTCCTGCGGGAAAACGCAGGGTACGGCTTTCCTTACCATGCTGACTGTGGAGAGGGGTCGGTCGAGGAAAGCGGTTGCGACTTACAAAAATGGAGCTCAGTGTGTGGACAAAAAAAAAAAAAAAAACATGCCCGTTAACTTATGAAAGGCATTTTTGCGATAGATGGATAAAGAGAGAGTGAGAGAAAGAGGAGGGATAGATAGATAAATACGTAGATAGATGGATAGATAGCTTCATACAAATAAAAGGCTGTTCAGACAGATGTATTAAGTGTCGACTAAAAAAAACTCATTCTCTGCTCCTGGTGTTCGACTAATATCTTTGATTCGTGTTTTCATTTCCTTTTGCAATAAATGAATCCTTTATGGCACCGCGTATATTCCCAAAAGTAGACAGCTTGGCCGCTTTTTGCCCCACCGTCTGCGTGTACAAACCAGCTGTGAGCTTAAAGCTAAGAAGACAGTCTTCAGCACGGGGCGCGAGAGGCGTGCGGCGCCTCTCTCGTGCTAGTCTCCGCTTATAGTCACCTCTTAAAGTCTTTCCTCCTGCGGCGGCTGTAGCGTGGCAGCGTTATTGCATTCCTCAATGGCCACAATAAAAGCGGCTGACTGATAATTCCTGACTCCCTTTATTAGCGAACCAACACACCAAAGCATTGCGCTTTTGGGCACGTGGAGCCCCAGTGATGTATCCAAAGTCTTTTTTTTTTTTTTTACCATCCAAGTGGGTCAAAGGATCAATTTGATCAACGGCTGCCCACTTTCAATCTCTCTTTTCACACTTTCGGTTCTCTGGCTGTGTTTGCCTATTTTGCACAGACAATACCGGAGTCTTTATAAAGCTCCTTTTAATGACGATGAAATGTTTAACCGCCACGCTTCCCTTCAACCATCCATGCATTCAATAAATATATTTCTATACATTTATTAGAGGAATGGATTAGTGCCCATTTGATTGGTGATCAATGAGCTCTGGACAAAGCCTCTCCATTTGCCTTGAATAACAGATCAGTTGTGGCCTCCTTTACTGGTATTTGTTCACATACTGCATGAGTGCCGGATTCACGTTTGTGTTATTGCACCTTTCACTATTTTTATTGATATGTCACACAATTGGCTGAAAGTGGATTATCATTTGGAGTAGAGTAAGAGCTGCACTGATTTATAGGAGCTAACGAAAAGCTGTAGCGAACTGAAGTGTGTATGTCTTAGCGTAAGAGCAATTGTTTGATAGCAAAGTTTCATAAATCACTTCACACAGTCTTTTCAAAACCATTGCTGTATGTTTTGAGTACAATGTTTAAAAACATTGAAATGTCATTTTTCATCATGTCCGATATTGTCCTTGTCAAACAATCTGATGGATAACTATAGCTAAACCAAGCAGAGGACACAAAA